TTCCCGCCGCTGCTCGGCGCTGCCGGGTCTCCCACAACCCAGCCCCACCCCGCTCCAGCGGCCCGGCCTCCCGGGATGCCGCCGCTCATCCAGGCCGCCATCGGAGCGCTCCCACCCACCGAGCTCCCCCACAGCCCGGCCCCGGCGAGCCCCTCACGGCCCCGTGGGGCGGGAAGCGCCGGTGAAGCGGGTCCCGGCCCGGCCTCCCCTCAGGCCGCCCGCGATGCAGCCCCCACCGGCCCTACCTGCGGCGCGACGCCGGCCAGGGACGCTCACCACTCCCGGCCCCTGCAAATCCCGCCCCCGACCCGCTCTCTGCGCGCTCATTGGTTGCGGAAGGTGAAGCCCAGTGACAGGCAGCACCCGCGACCAGTCAGAAGGCAGGTCGCGCCGCCGGGTCCTGAGGCGCGGGTCCGCAGCCCCTTCTCGGCGCTCGGTGCTGAGGGCACGGGGCGGCCGAGGCGGTGCGAGGCCCCGGGAGGCATCCCTATGGCCGGGCAGTGTTAGGCGGTAACAGGCCTAGGGCAGGCCAGGCCTCCCCGTCCTGAGGCTGAGCCCCAAGAGAGCCCTTCTCTCCCTCAGAGCGGTGGGGTCTGCCAGCCAGCCCTGCTCCCCTCCGCTGGCCTCCCCCCGCTCACACCAAAGGTGGTGGTGTGTCCATTAAAGGGCAAAACATGGGCTGCTGCGGTGCCCTTGGTTATGTTTTTTGGCTGATGTATGGTTATAAATCATATTCATGGTCCGCTAGTCTCAAAAGGCAGTGGGATCTGCAGTCAATCTCTTATACAAGGAAAAGCAATGCTCCATTTTTGCTTCATCGTTGTGTCTTTCCATGGCTGTGGGGTCTCGTGTTTGCCCCAAGAGGACATTTCTGAGATCTGGCTCTAGACGTAGCTCGGTTTTGCCCTGTTTTCTGTGCTCCCTGCTCCCTTGACTTCAGGTGTGCAAATAACCTTGGCCTTGGCCCTGTGGTGTCTCCCGGGGCCAACTGAGGGGTCCAGTCGCTTCTCCGTTCCCTTCGGTGTTCTGCTGATTTACCTGAGATCTGTCTGTGCTGCTGATTAAAGCCAGGATCTAATTCAGATTAAAAGCTTCCATTGAGGGAAGGGAAACAAAAAAAGGGACCCAAACCTCTGGTTTATCGTCTTGAAACCTTGCAGCTGGTGGGCACAAGGTTTCCTCCGAAGGCCTTTCTGAGCCGTGTCTCTGGTGGTGGGGCATAGATAGTTTTAGACAGACATAGATGTTTGGCATAAATAGTTTTAACTTTTTAAAAAGGAGTAAATTGATTGAGACTATTTGTCTTAGGGTTTGTAGGGTGTATCAACTGATGCCGTATTGGCATCGCAGAGGCATGGCGGGATGGCTGCTATGACTGGAGTGTTGGAATGGTGGGATACAGGCTCTTCAGGAAGGACAGGCTGGGGAGACAGAATCACAGACTGGCTGGGTCAGAAGGGACCTCTGGAGATCATCTTGTCCAACCCCCTGCCAAAGCAGGTCCACCCAGAGCAGGTTGCACAGGAACGTGTCCAGATGGGGTTTGAATGTCTCCAGAGAAGGAGACTCCACCACCTCCCTGGGCAGCCTCTTCCAAGGCTCTGCCACCCTCACAGGAAAAAAGTTCCTCCTCATGTTGAGATGGAATTTTCCAGGCTCCAGTTTGTGCCCGTTGCCCCTTGTCCTGTCACCGGGCACTATTGAAAAGAGTTGGAGAACTTAGAGCCTCTTCCAGTCCCTCAAGGGGCTCCAGGAAAGATGGGGAGGGACTCAATCAGGGAGGGGAGCCCTAGGAGGAGGGGGAAGGGTTTGACCCTGAAAGAGGGGAGATGGAGCTGAGCTGTGGGGAAGAACTTGTTTGGTGTGAGGGTGGTGAGAGCCTGGCCCAGGTTGGCCAGAGAAGCTGTGGCTGCCCCAACCCTGGAGGGGTTCAAGGGCAGGTTGGAGGGGGCTTGGAGCAACGTGGTGTGGTGGGAGGTGTCCCTGCCCAGGGCAGGGGGTGGCACCAGAGGATCTTTAAGGTCCCTTCCAACTCAAATCATTCTATGAATCTATGACTGTGGAGACTGACAGCCCTTTAAATGTCCCACACTGCTCCATGAACCCAGGCACAGGAATTAGGGATACAAAAGCATTTTATCACCTCATTGCTGTACTGTGTAAAATGCCAAACCCGCCATGGTTGTGTTCCCCCCCACACTCAGCTGAAGTCCATTGTGGGACCATGTCCTATGTCAGCTGGAATGATCCAAGGAAATATTCCATGAGAATAATCCTGAGTATTAGATGCACAAGGGACTTCTAATTCCTTCCTCCTACTCCAGCGTTGCCGAGCGGAAGAACCTCTTTGGTGCCAACTCACAGCTTTTACTTCACTTCAGGCTTGGCTGTGGGATGCTGTGAAATGACTGAGTTTTTATAGGTTTAAAAGCCAGATGACCATGGGCACTTTATGTTACCAACTTTCCCCAGCACGATTGGCGAGGAGGTATTTTTATCTTCTCTGACATGCCTGTTGTCACAGCAATCTGTTTTTCTGTGTTCTTTTGCAGCCCAAAGGTACTTGTCACTGCTTCCTGTGGGGCTGGACTAAGCTGGGTAGACACCTGGAAGAAGCAGCCTCAACTGGTGCCGAGACAAGGAGTGATCCCCTTGGAATAAGGAAAGGAACAGCCCAGACAGCTGAGACATTGAATGCAGAGATCAGTTTTTTGAGGTAAGTGTCTCAAAGACAGACCCACCACACACAAGATGAGCTCGAAAGTTGCATTTCAGCTTCGAGCCCCTTTTGCAGGAGACTGGTTTCTGATTCCTCGGAAGGGAGGGTTATCTGCGTGTGGATTAACTTCAGAATGATGGGAGGGATCTCACACACAATACCTCCAGGAAACTCTTTTCTGTTCCCTTTCTTGCTGGCTTTCCCCCTGCCCACAGCCTTTTTTTGTCTGTCCCAGGTAACTCGGATGCAGCTGGCTTGGTTATCTTCTGGATTTCACCCCTGTTGCTGTGTTTAAAGCCCAGCAGCAGCGGGAGAAGAGGGAGTTTGTTTGGAAGGAGCAGGATTTGCTGCTTTACTTCTCCCTACCTGTTGCTCAGCCTTGTCCTCATTCCTAAGTGCGCCGCTGTAGGGATCCAACAGATGTGGTCGTGTTTCCTGAATTTCTTGGTGTGCTGAATGCAGGTCCCTTCAAAAATCTAGCTCCAGTAGCGGGTCCTGAACCTGTAGAGATCTTGCCCTGGATTCTGAGTAATTTGGGTTGATGTTTGCTGCTGAAACTGGCCCGCAGAGGCCTGTGACTTGCACAGCGGTCTGGCAGGAGGCTTCATCATACTCTGGAGACCGCAGGGTTAGCGGTGATTTTGTGGGGCTGTTCATCCCTGATTTCTGCCTCTCACTTTGTTGGCAGCAAACGGGAGACAGAGGTGCCTCAGAGGAGCTGAACCATGGGCAGCATCCTAGGAAAAGAGTCCAAACAGTTCATCTGGCATGGAGGGAAAGGGCTTTGGAGATCGGCATAGGAAACAAAGAAATAACTATGTAAAAGAAGGGAAATGCATCAGGTATCACTGTTAAGGCTCTGAACTCTCCCCTTACTGATGTAATTAGTCCTGAATGCTATTTGTGGTGTCAGCTCTTGAAGGACAGGTGGCATTTTTGTTAATGTGACCAGTGGCTAAGGACACACAAGAACAGCTTGTCCTTGTTGTTTCTGGAAATGGGTGTTAGTGACTTCACTGTAAACCTTCTTCCGGCACGATGCTGGGGTCACATCAGCTGCCAGATCTTCAAAGGGCAATTTTTTTTTAAATTGTACACAGTCAGCTTGACTTGTAAATATCCTAGAGATACCTTCTGCCATTATAAAAGGCATCCTGTAATTCAGGGAGAAGGCACTTCGTTCTTCACCTGCAACAAAACGATCTGGTCTTTGTATTAAGCACAAAATGAAATTTGCTGGCGAAAATGCTTTCAGAATTGTAGACTGACAAGCGTGGACGCACGGGTGCTTGGGCACTGGGCCAACCTTGTGCTCTCCTCCTTACACGGGATGGTTGGTTACACTGAGGAATAGCAGTTCTGCTCTCTTTTGCTGTCGGCTCCCTTGCAGCTCCAAGGAAGTGGCTTCTGGTGGCATCCCCCAGTTCCTTTAATCAAACGGCATGCAGCAGTGCTATAGGGTTTCTGTGAGGGTGAGGGAGGAACTTGTGAGGGTCACAAGAACTGCTTGTGAGGGCATGTTAAGATCGCAACATGAAAGGCCTGACGATCTTAAAGAGATGCGTAGAAGCCTCGTAGAGATTTCTGAGCATATGTTAATGAGCAAACATTGTCAATCACAGGCAGGAGCAGCTGGTGTGTGCGTGGGGGTTGACAGAAGATGTGGCTTTCCCAGCATGCTGGACTCTGAGCCCAGGAGATACAGTGTCAGTATGTGTCCTTTGGTCATGCACAGACAGGCTGGTGGTGTGAAGGACCCTCTGTCAAACATCACCTCCCATGGGATGGATGGGGTAGAGAACAACCATTAGTGTAACAACAGCCATGGAAGGATAAATCAGGACCGTGGAATTTGGAGTTGGGTCCCGTGGCTCACAGCTGTCCAGCAATTGCTCACTGGCACCTTGCAGAGCGATGGTGAGGAGATTCGCAGTGTTGGCGGCTGGGTCTGTCTGGGGGGGCGAGGGGGAAAGGACCCAGACATGGCTTATGTCTGTCCCAAAGGGCTTGATTCCTGCTTTTCTACCTTAGTTGCATTTAACCATTTTGTAGGCTGCTTCTGCTCCTATTGGAAACCATTTCCAGTCTAAATATTCAGTTTATGAAGAGGAGAGAGGCCTCGAAGTTCACCCAAGCCTCTTGCAGCGCTAAGACGAGAAGACAGAGCTGCTACACCCCCAGGCAGTGCTCTAGCCACAGGTCCACGCTGCTTCCCTCTGCTTGAGCTCCGTAAAGGACAAGAAAAGAATGGAAGCCTTGTTGCAGGGAAAAAGGAATTATCTGTGGCCAGAAGTATTTTTCAAGAGCCGATGCTCTGTCCTGGAGCCTGGGAGCCCGTGTGCTGACACAGCCCTACTGTGAGCCACACAGGAGCTCAAGAATCATAGAATCACAGAATCGTCTAGGTTGGAAGAGACCCTTGGGATCACCGAGTCCAACCATCTCCCCTACTCTACAAGGTCATCCCCTACACCATGTCCCTCAGCACTGCATCTAAACGGCCCTTAAACACAGCCAGGGATGGTGACTCCACCACCTCCCTGGGCAGCCTATTCCAATGCCCGACCACTCTTTTGGTGAAAAATT